GCTATTTCTCTTAATATAAGTGAAAGAGTTACTTCAATTTTTAACTGCATTTATTTAGACAGTGACTATGGAAGTGGTGTTAAGTGAAATTTAACTGAAAAAAAAATGAATAAAAAGACAGCATCAAAAATAAATGTGCTGAGTATATGGGGGATGTTCATTTTATCCTACACGCAAATGCATTTGTAACGCCTATAAGTTATTGACATTGCCGCCATTATTAGCTGTCTGGCAGAACACGTTCCGCCCAATAGCGGAAACAATTAGCGAAATAACATTAAATTTTTTTTTCAGTCAAGGATAAGATCCAGACGCACAAGAAGTGAGTTGAAAGTTTCGGAAAGAGTAAAAATTCATGGCGGACATTTGTAGTAAATGTGAAAATTTACGTATTGTCAATAAAAATCCATACAGTTAAATAATGATGAGACAACCACTAGCTACTGTGTCATAGCAAATGCTTACTGTTTGAAAATGCGTTGAGTGAAAACCGTTGTGCGCACGCAAAGGAAACCGGAAATGAGAGGGCGGTGCAAAAATCTGTTTGTTGGTTTGACAAGACAACAAGTTGTGGAAGTTTACACTTTCAGAACAAAAGCAAAATTTTGGCGAGTAAAAATAAAAAAATAAAATATATGTAGATACAAATCATTAGTTCATTATTTACATTTTACATTCAAAACTAAAATATATATTTAAGTATTTACGTTAAGCAAATAATTATTTTGTAAACATTTTCATTTTGTGCAGAATTGTTATGCGACGGATTTTACATGTACATTGAGAAATACATACTTTTGTATATTTCTTTCGCCAAAACACTTGACAGCTTTAACCAAATAGTGTAACTGTAATCAACTCATGTGTTGAGAGGAACATATTTGGTTAACGTAACGAAACTCTCTTCTTTAAAAAATAACATGTACCTTTTATTTTTAGATATCTATGGTTAGAAAGGTATTAAAATCATGCTTTTGCAAAAACGTAAACAGTAAAAATGTTTTTTTCGCGAAAATTTTTTAGTTTTATGACCGAAAAAAAAAAAATTCATTCTATTTTAGACTAGCAGGCCCAGCGAACTTCATCTCGCCCAAAATTAATTATTTTTGTTGAAAAATTTTGGTCCAACATTTTTGCTTACAATTCAAATTCACGATTTCCAGTGACACATTTATCGGCTAAGATTATGGTTTTGTGGTCGACGGAAGGCATATTTCCATGGCCGTCTTAAATAAGCTAGCGAAAGTGTTATGACCGCGAAAAAGTACTTAAAATTCTCCAATGATCTGGCATTTTGTAGCACGCGTAATCGCACAACGAAATAAATTTGAAGAACTTTGTCCTGTTCCCTACCAGGCGCCAACAATGATCCTGTTCGTTGATGAATCTCCCTTTGAAACTGTATTGTATAGTTGATGGCAGTTTCAGCAGAAATCTAATATACATACTTACATAGCATTATTTCAGATGAAATATCTTAAATATCATATCAGTTTTAACTGCGTATCTCAATTTTTTAGACAAGCTTACAGTTTTGCTTTAATTACCAACTAGTACAAATTACAGTTTTGCCGAAATTTCAGATTTCAAAGAATGAATTAAAATATCCTTTTTGCTTCATTTAGAAGTAAATTTTTAAGTGAAAAGCTTTTTTCCTCTTTTGAATAAAAAAGGTTGGTAACCTTTCCAAAATCTCTCCGTTTTTTAAGGTTGCAGTTTTTTAGTAGAAAAGTTATTTTTTTAGTAATTCAGTGTTTTGAAAATAAAATCTGGCAGCGCTGGTAATGATTAGACTCCAGCGCCACCTGGGAACTCTTTTTTGCATTAATATTTCCCTTACCGTTCGGTTGGTTTGGGAGTTGGCACGCCCACGGTTGCCACTTTCCTGTACCTGTTTATGTTTTTTCTATAGATTTACTTATTCAAATATTTTACAAATACACACTGGTGATGTAGTTAATAAACCAATTTTTCGTGTGTTTTGTGAACTATTATATAATGCTGGAACTTACCTTCCCAAAGAAAAATTCTCTTTCAAAACGGACAAACAGATTTTTATACCCGAGCTCACTTGTGTAAAAGGGTATTATAACTATGTTCACATAACGGTTGCTTGTAACAGCCAAAACTAATCGAGATAGATATAGACAAAATGTATACTTAAATGATGAGTATGAATAAGAAATCGATTAATAGGTGACCGTCCGTCTGTGCACACGATAACACGAGTAGAAATTAAGATATTGAATGGTATTGAAAATGGAAAAAATCGGACAATAACCACGCCTACCTCCCATATAACGGTAGTCTTCAGAACTACGAAAACTGCGATATTTTAGTAACTACTGAAGCTAATTCACTCAAAGTATATGTTTACAATCATTTTTTAGATAAAAAAGGATGTTATAATTTTTTGGGAAATGAGCGTAGCCACGCCCACTAATGATTACATGTGTATATCTCGGTAACCGCTGCACCAATTTCGCCCAAGCTTGGCACAGTTGTTGGCCTTGGTATAAAATATCAAATGGCTGAAAACTTTTAAAATCGGACAATAACCACGCCCACATCCCATATAATGGTAATTTAGAGAAATGTGAAATCTTCGATAAATCAGTAAATACTGAAGCTAATTTATTCAAAATTGATGTTTGCAATAATTCTTTAGCAAAAAATATGTTTATGATAAAATTTTGGAAAATAGGCGTGGTACCGCCCACTTATGACCACATATCTTTATCTCGGTGACAACTATCTTACCTGCCGTATAAAAGAAAAACGTTGAAAATGATTGAAATCGAACTAAAATTATGCTCACTTATATATTTAATGAAGAACTATGGAAGATATGATATATATCAAAGGAGATATCGTTTGGTGAAAGAAAAATACCTTTTAGAAACAAGTAGTACTAGCGAACCCGGCGAACTTCGTCTCACCCAAAATAAATTTTTTATTGAAACATTTTGGTACAACATTTTCACGAACTATTCACTTAACGATTACCAGTGGCACATTTATCTGCTCTAACTATGGGTTTTTAGTTGTCAGATGAATATCTTCCATTGCAATTTTAAATAACCTAACCAAAGCGTTATGTCCGTGACCAAGTACTTGCAATTTTTCAATGATCTGGTGCTTAATCGCACAACACTGATCGATTTCGATATTAGGTACATACTTGTTCCTAGAGAGGTCATCCTGCATAAACTTGGGCGCTTTTCTGAGGTTTCTGATTTGCATTGCTAATCGCCAATATTTGTAAATTGCGGTTGCGTGAGGCAATGTTCCATAATTTAGTCAGCGAATGGTTTACGAACACTGAAAGAACAATGTCGAAAAATTCAAATTATCTACGAAGCAATCGAACCATATTCGCAAAAGAAATGTACGCGCCAGATATTCTCATTCAGC